TGAGGATTTGACAACTATTATCTTCCATTATCTTCGAAGGGTCTTTGAACTTGTGCAGAGCTCCTCTGCTGGATAGATAAGAGAATTGGGGTACTCGGTTTCGCCCATTCTCTTAAGAGTTGAGAAGGCAAAGGTTACTTGACTTCGCCCGCGTCCTTGAGGTTGTACTCCATGCATCGAGCTGGTTACTGGCCTTCGCCTGCTCTTTGCTCACACTTCTGAAGCACTTGAAGTGTTTGCACTCCTTGCGTTGAGTTAGTTACTGTGATTCACCTTCTCAATGCCATCGAACTTCTGGAATGCAGGAAGTTTTCACCCCAACTTAGAGTAATTCTCTCATAGGTTTGGTCGTCTCTGGGATTGTACCGTCTTCTCCATCAACCCTGCCGCCTACTCCACTGAGTAGCAAAGGTACAGCACCGCGTACTGCTTGCTTCGTTCCTTGGTTATGCACTCTTGCATGACCCGAAGTCCTTCACTTTCGGCTATCTTGATGAGAAGCTCATTGACATCGGTCTTACGAAGTTCCTCGGCCTCTGCCCTTCAGCCTTGTCTCGGTACTTGGAGATTGCCTCTGCATGCTCCACCTCCTCGGCCCCTTTCACGACCAAGCGCTCTCCCTCCATGAGAGCAAGGGATCAATGACTTTCACGGAAGTCCCGCCTCTGCGGTACCATGGCGCTGCCATGCCCATGGCCCTACTATCCGTCGCCTCGCATCTGTATCCCTTTTTTTTTTCACGATCAGTAGATATGTCTCTGTGGCACTCCTCTGAGTCCACCTCCATTCTAACTAATGCTTGATTTTGGGTAGCTAAGTCCCTCTGGACTTGTCGTCGCTTCCTCGCCCCTTTCGACCCCCTGCTTCAACACCTCTGTGTTCTCCAAATAGTTTGTTTGGTCGATGGAAAGACAGACTACAACTCCCATGCATGGCCTCTGCCATCACGTTGTAGGGTTTGCACCGATTCTGTTATCCTTAGCTTCCTTGGTAGCAACGTTCGCTTACTCGACCTTGTCCTCTGACTTGTCGGGCTCCCTTAAGCGAATATGAGCTCTGGAGCAGTTCAACTCTCCAGCTGCTTCGATCATACCTCTACATGATCAAGTCCCTCCCATTGAACTCACTAGTACTTGCATTCGAACTTTTCCCTTGGTGGAACCCAGCCCCCATATGCTGATGACCAAGATTTTCATCCGATGCAAAATTCGATGCATGCACGGAAGACTCGCCTCTGCGGTACCATGGCCTTCACTCCTTGAATCCATAGCCCTTCTTGCCGTCGTGTTGTTCACCGAAGTGGAGCTTCCAGTAACTCCCGATCTTACCTCCATATGATCTAGTCCTGTATCGCATTGCCACGAACTGTTCCACCACGATCCGCTGCACCATGTCGCCTCTTGGTGACATCTCCATTGCATTCTGATCCTTGTGGAATAAACTCGAATTGTGAACCCTTCATGTGTGGGCTCTGCCAATACATCGCAGGGTCTCTTCCACCTTCGATTTTGTTCGCTCCTTTGGCAATCGACCTTCATCCACCCACTCTTGGGTCACACCTAGATGAAGCACCGCTCTAGGACAGTTCGTCGCCTAGTAGCTCCCGAAGTCCACTAACTTCACTGTAATTTGTGCACCATTGTCTGGATCCTGGGCCTCTGCCCCTACCAGCACAATCTCCGCTGTGCACCGCTTCCTTCATGGCAACTTGAATGGCAACACTATGGCATATTCTTCAAGAGTACCCGCCTCTGCGTCCTCTTGCCCCGTGCTAAGGCCTTCTGAACCCAACTTCGTCTCCGCAAATTGAGTCGCCTTAGTTCCTCCATCAAATGCTCCTCCGAGATAAGGTGCATGTGCCCAGAAGCTCCCTTCGTCTTTGGCACCATGCAAGATGAGTCCACTCCATTAGAATGAAGGACCCATGGAACAACATGATCCTACTCTTACCTCTGTAAGAGTTCATGTCTTTGACCTCTGTCTACGGAAAGCATAGTGCCTCTGCTCCATGTTCCAACTTCTATTCTGGCTCCCTTCATGCGGCTTGAGTACTTTGCCAAGTTACATCCAAGTTGCTCCGCTCCTCGTTTTTGCATTGAGTCGATGGTGGCCCTCGTGCCCACCATTCCACGGGTCAGCCCTCCCTTGAGTCCAATCTCCATATCGACTCCAAGTGTGCCTTCATTTAAGTTGCTTTAGGTCGCTCCGCCACTTGATCTCGCAATGCATCCACCAATGCATTCTCTCAAGCGAGATTATGCGACGACTCCTCGCCGCTTGCTCAGTCCATTAAGCTTCGTGGAGTCGTTGTTTGTTGAGGTACTCCTCCTCAACTTGTGGGGTCCGTCTCACATGATTCTCCCTCTGGAGAGCCGGGACTTATCCCTCCTGGATAACTGTCCCATTGGAGCAACATCTCTCTTCGTTTCGGAGACCACCATCCCCTTGGACTACTCCGATCTGCTGAACGAACTGTGCATTGTTTTGCCTCCTACAAATGCACTTGCTAGATTGCGACTCCATGTCAATACAGCCCCCGCTGCACCACTCAAGGCCTAGCAACATGCTGAACTCGTTGCACACTTCAGCCTCCTACGGACGTATCCTTCGCATGCCGAAGAGAAAGTTTCAATGCTCCATGGCGTCGAGTTTCGGTCGCCTTGGGATGGTCGCGAACATTCCATCGTCCGCATACAAGCTCATGCATGAGTACCGAATTCTTTGGGTTAGCAATTCCCCTCACCTCTGTGAGCTTTGCACAACTCTTTCGATCGCTGAGCAACTCATTCCACCTTGGATGGTCTCATCCTTTACCAAGCGCCTCGCTTGCCTTGAGCACCATCAAGTATGGTTGTCAACGTTGAGCCGTAGCTCAAACTCAACCACCCCAACCTTTGTGCGCTCCACATTCTTCCAAGCTTGCCTGTTCTCGTGGTGCCTTTTGCGCGAAGGGTTGGCCATTCCTCTGAATGCCAATATCAGATGCCCGCTCCTCCGAGCGACTCCTTTTTCCCATATCTCCATGCCTGTTTTCCCCCAAACGGTCGCGCATGTGCTGACTGCCCTCAACGCAGCCCCGCTAGGTCCCCCACGTTTGCATGCTAAGTGTTTCTATGAGTGCTTGTCCCGCTCTGATACCATCTGTCACGGACTTAGCTGGTTTTGCCTAAGTCGTGCGGCACTCTTGTGTGTCCGTCCGCAAAGGTCAGCCTCCCCGAAGCCTCCCATTGTCCCTTAGGACCAACAAAAGAGAGGACGGGTTAGAGAGAACGCCTCAATCGGGATCCACAAGCAAACATCTCCGAAAAACACTTCATAGACAATGCAAATTACAAACAGACTTTACAAGCTCTGAACAGTTGCACAACAAAGGGTAAAATGGTCCATTACAGATCGAAAATCTCTCGCACATGTCCACATGACACAACCTTTATTTGCAAGCCTAAAGAGGCCACCAACCCAACTAAAATGAGACTATTAAGCCTTCGGCCGCCCCTCTACATGCTGTACAAGGCATGAACATGCCAAAAGACACGGACATACATAAGCATTACATCCAACATCTTGTTTAGAAGTTTGTCCGTGACAGGGTGGTATTATTCGAAATTGCATACCTTGATATGAATGAATGACAGTTTAATTGTGTAATGGAGATGCACTTGCAAGTTGCAACATTCTTTCTTGGTGTAATATATATATATATATATCGCTCCATCCGGTAACGGGCGGTCCGTGTACTGATCAGACGGACCGGTACATACTGCCCGTACTGGATGATATTATTCGAAATTGCATACCTTAATATGAATGAATGACAGTTTAATTGTGTAATGGAGATGCACTTGCAAGTTGCAACATTCTTTCTTGGTGTAATCTGCTGGCATTTTATGGAAAGTTCACAAGAACCTTTTTTCTTAATCATGCATGTAATCTCATACAAGTTAGGAGAGGCTATCCAAGATTGCCAGAGACATTCAAGATCCAGAGAAAACTAGATTCTATTGCTGGGAACTAACTTTAATGCCATTACGGACAAAAAAAAAAAAGACAAGCATCCAAGTTCAAACAAAAGCACAGCTCACTAAACACTGCAAAAAATTTGTTGAGAGGCAACAGGTTATGGGTAGAGTTTATTATGTGCAAAAAGCTGTTTCGAATGAGGGAAAAAAACTGAGAACTTCTAAGTGATATATTAATGTTGTTTGATTTCTGCTATTAACTTGAATTAGCAAAAGTTATGATAATTTACTTTTCAATATTCAAGTGAGTAGTCTTTTACTGTGTCTATTCTCAGTATTCAAATGTTGACTTGATTAACATATTGTTAATGTAATGCAAGTATATATATTAGATATAGTGTTACATAAAGCATAATTCTTCTATGTAAAAACTGATTTTGAAGTGGGATTCCTTTTCGTTGCCAACAAGAGTGAATTCATAAATGTTGTTTAGAAAACTGTGCTTGTTTGTGCAACATCTATATTATGGTTGTTGGAAAGCTTTGACTTTGGAATATCTGAAATTTAATGAAAATATTTGCATAATGTTAGTGGTTTAGCATCCCATGATGTATGAGAGAATTTCAATTGAAAAAGGTTCTGCTTTGTCAAATTGTTATTTGCAATTTTTTTCTATTTACTCCTTCCATTCAAGTATCACATAACCATGTATATTTTAGACACTACAGGACTTGAATTCCTGATCTCGTAACTGTAGAAATTGCATCTTAAACACTAGGACATATTCTCAGAGACAATTGTATATGTTTGTATTTTGTCAAAATATGCAGACAAGAATTGATCATCATCGAGGTATTTGCAGGAGAGATAGTCTTTGGACCCATTTTTTATGTTCAATATGCCTCTTGACTTGATCAATTTTGCTGCTTGCTAGCCCATTTTGAAGGTTTATGTTCAGTGCAACAGCCAGTTTCTTTAAGTGGTCACAATTTTGTTGTTCTTTTTTGCTCCCTTAGTTGTTTGCTAACATTTGTTGCTAGAAATTATACCCGGATGTTACTTTTAGATAGATACCATGAGAGGTGCAAAATCTCTGATAGCTAAGATAGATTCTGTGTCATTTTTCAATCGCAGGACTTGTTTATCCCTTCAGCTCTTTCCTTAGCTGTCCCACTGGCTTTGATGTCCCTCACAAGGTATTTAATGAATAATTAGCAGATTATAAATTATTAATTATGACTAGCATAAGCAGTCATCAGTTTTTCATGTTTTTCATTGTAGTGAAGTTAATGGGACATCTGAGAAACAGTCCAATGTTTTAGCATCAGAGCAGATGGCTCCTAGAGGGCAGCTAGTTTTTGCTGTTGGTATAGGGGCTTTATTGTTTGTTCCTGTATTCAAAGCCATAACAGGCCTGCCGCCTTACATGGGTATGCTGCTTGGACTAGGAGTTCTATGGATTTTGACAGATGCAATACATTTTGGGGATTCTGGAAGGCAAAAATTGAAAGTGCCACAAGCCTTATCTCGTATAGATACACAAGGAGTTCTTTTCTTTTTAGGGATTCTTCTGTCAGTGAGCAGGTACAACCAAGAACATCCACCTCATCTTTGCAATACATGATCAATAATGTGCTAATATGAACATTTTATCCATGATAGTTTTTGTCACATTATTCAAACCTGAATGCATGCACTTTTGTTTTGCTCTCTTAAGCATTGTGAAATCCTTCACCTTTTAGAGAGAGATTTGACACAGGAGTGTCTAATTTGTTACAATCTGCTCATATGGACCTTGCTGATGCTGTGGTATTGTTTTCAGCCCACAATGTTGACTCATAGTTTTCAACTCAGCCCACTCAAATATGATAGCTCATTAGCACATTCCTTAGATGAAGTTACAACTATTTCAAGATGCTTTTCTTTATGACCAAGGAATGCATTAAAAAAGTTGGTTACTTGTTGTAAAACACTTAATTTCAAAGTTCCCTATGTATGAAGGGTTGTTTCATGCACTAGTACTTATTTGGTTATTTAGGGCTTAGAAAGAACTTTAGAAAACTGATGATATTGACAGAAGCTCTCTTGGAGTGCTCTTTTAAACTCTGTATCTCTTGGATGCGTCCTTGAGTGGTGAGTCTTTTGTTTTAAGTTCTGTATCCTTGTTTATTATCCTTGGGGTGGTCATCTTTGCAATATATGATCAATAATGTGCTAATATGAACATTTTATCTATGATAGTTTTTGTCACATTATTCAAACCTGAATGCATGCACTTTTGTTTTGCTCTCTTAAGTATTGTTAAATCCTTCACCTTTTAGAGAGAGATTTGACATAGGAGTGCCTAATTTGCTATAATCTGCTTATATGGACCTTGCTGATGCTATGATATTGTTTTCGGCCCACAATGTTGACTCATAGTTTTCAACTCAGCCCACTCAAATATGACAGCTCATTAGCACATTCCTTAGATGAAGTTACAACTGTTCAAGGTGCTTTTCTTCATGACCAAGGAATGCATTAAAGAAGCTGGTTACTTGCTGTAAAACACTTAATTTCAAAATTCCTTATGTATGAAGGGTTGTTTCATGCACTAGTACTTATTTGGTTATTTACGGCTTAAAAAAAAATTTAGAAAACTGATGATATTGGTAGAAGCTCTCTTGGAGTGCTCTCTTAAACTCTGTATCTCTTGGATGCGTCCTTGAGTGGTGAGTCTTTTGTTTTAAGTTCTGTATCCTTGTTTATTATCCTTGAGGTGGTGATCTTTCTGTATCCCTTTGTGATTTTAAACTTGGTGGTGAGCTTTCTTTTCGATCTTATTAAAGTTTTATCGCGAGTTCGTTCCTTTTCTATTCGTAAAAACTTATTCCAACAAATACAATTGTACTGTCGGTTTTTCTTTCGAAATCCATTCTACTTTACCCCCCATTCTGCATCACACCGTTATCAATTTGGTATCAGAGCTAAAGGCTAGAAATCATGGTAAGGCGGAATGGAAATGATATAGTTGATGAAGATAGCGACCATGAAGAAGATACTGAGTCGTTGGGGCTGCAGCTACGAAAATTGTTGCGTAGTCTATAAGAAAAAAATGAAATAATTAAAGAACTTTGAAGTAGACAAACCAGTATGAAAATGGTATCCAAGAATTTACTTTTGATGATGATACACCTCCTTATCCAAGGGAGTCGAGAAGATTTCGGGCAAGACATGTAGTCCAAGATGAGTGGCAGAATAAATACAACCCAAGATTGGATATTTCGGAGTTTGAAGGTAAAATTAATATTGATGACTTTATTGATTGGCTTAATACAGTGGAAAGAATTTTCGATTTTCATAAACCATCAGAACAAAAGAAGGTAAAACTTGTGGCACTTAAACTTAGACGGAATGCATCTTTTTGATGGAAAAATATAAAGAAACAAAGAGAATGTGAAGGGAAGAGTAAGATCGTGACATGAGAGAAAATGAAAAGGGAGCTGAAGAGAAAATATTTACCTCACAATTATAGGTAAGAGATCTTTCTCAAAATCCATGATTTCAAGCAAAAAGATCTTAGTGTGGAGTACACTGCAGAATTCGATAATCTCATGTTAAAAGGAGAGTTTGTAGAACCGGAAGAGCAAATCATTGCAAGATACTTAGGAGGTTTGAAATATGAGATTGCTAAAGTGGTTCAACTGCAGCCATTTTGGTCTTTAAATGGTGTGAGTAAGTTGGCTTTAAAAGTTGAAAAGCAATAGAAGTTTGAAAAGAGTTCTCAGTATGGGTCAAAAGAAGGCTATACGAAAGGAGGAAATTCTAAGCCTACTATCCAAAGCAAGGTATCAAAGGTGCAAGACAAGGGTGAGGGATATGCTGGCAACAAACAAACACCTAATTCTTCTATCTCAAGTGGCCGAAAATATTTCAAATATCATGGTTTTGGGCATATTGTTTCAGATTGCCCAAATAGAAAGATTGTTACTTTGGTTGAAAATCATAGTGATGGAGGATAAGATGAAACTGACGAAGAACGAAAATATGATGATGATGAGGAAAAGGTTACTATGCTGATCATGGTTTGTCTATTGTATTGCAACGTAGCTTACAAGTATCCTACGTGGCCGAGGATGAAAGTTGGGTGAGAAAGAACGTGTTTCATACTAAATGCACTTCTTATGGCAAAGTGTGCTTGGTGATCATCGATTGTGACAGTTTTGAGAATGTGGTGTCTTTGGAGATGGTGCAGAAGCTAAAGTTGGACACAATCCCTCATCCACATCCGTACCAATTATGTTAGTTGCAAAAAGGAAATGACATCAAGGTAACTAAAAGATGTTTAGTTTCGTTTTCTATTGGAAAGTATTATAAATATGAAGCATGGTGTGATGTTGCTCCTATGGATGCTTGTCATTTGCTATTGGGAAGACCTTGACATTATGATAGAAGGGTGTTGCATGATGGCTACAAACACACTTATTCTTTTAAGGTGAATGAAAAAAAGATTATTTTAGCTCCATTACAACCTTCTAAAATCAATGCACCAAAGAAGAAAGTTAGTGCTTTCATGGCCTATGGTGAATGCAAGGGTGCATTAGACAGGGGTGGTCATGTTTTGGCTCTAGTGGCAATAGAGGAGAATGAACAACACAAGGAGACACCAACAATCATGAAACCAATCTTGGAGGAGTTTCAAGATGTTATATTAGAAGAGATTCCACATGGCTTTCCACCTTTGAGAGACATCTAGCATCATATTGATCTTATTCCGGGGGCTATTCTACCTAATAAGGTAGCATACAGAATGAGTCCTAAGGAGCTTGAAGAACTTCAAAGGCAAGTGGACGAATTGGTGAAAATGAGATTAATTCGGGAGAGTATGAGTCCTTGTGCGATTCCAGCCTTATTGGTGCCTAAGAAGGATGGTTCTTGGAGAATGTCTGTGGACAGTCGCATCATCAACAAAATCACAGTAGACTATCGTTTTCGTATTCCAAGGTTAGATGATTTACTTGATCAACTGTGTGGTGCTTCTATTTTCTCTAAAGTTGATTTGAGAAGTGGCTATCATCAAATAAGAATGAGGCCTGGAGATGAGTGGAAAACAACCTTTAAAACTAGAGAAGACTTATATGAATGGTTGGTTATGCCATTTGGACTATTTAATGCTCCTAGCACTTTCAAGAAATTTATGAATCACATACTTAAACCATGCATTGGAATTTTTGTTGTGGTTTATTTTGATGACATATTGGTAAACAACAAGAGTGAAGAGGAGCATATGAATCATCTTAAAGAGATTTTTCTTATTTTGAGGCAGTAGAAGCTTTATGCTAATTTAAAGAAGTGTGGTTTCTTTACTCCTTGTCTTGTGTTTTTGGGGTATGTTGTTTCAAAGATGGAATAATGATGGATCAAAGTAAGGTAGAGGCTATTCTTAATTGGCCAGCACCTGCTTCATTGCTTGAGGTGAGGAGTTTTCATTGCTTAACTTCCTTTTATAGAAGATTCATCAAGGGGTTCAGCTCTATTGTTGCTCCAATCACTGAATGCTGGAAAGGTGACAAATTCAAGTGGACTAGTGAGGCTAATGATGCCTTTGAACTGTTGAAAATAAAGGTGATCGAATCTCCTATCTTAGTACTACCTAATTTTGATAATGTGTTTGAAGTTGAATGTGATGTATCTAATGTAAGAATTGGTGTAGTTTTGAGTCAAGACAGAAAGCCCATTGTCTTTTTTTAGTGAGAAGCTAAATGATATAAGAAAAAAATATTCTACTTATGATAAGGAGATCTATGTCATTTATCGAGCTTTATCTCATTTGAGTCAGTATCTTCTTGCCAAGCCATTTGTCCTATATTATGATCATGAAGCATTAAAGTTTATTAATCAACAACATAAGCTAAACAAGAGGCATGCAGCTTGGGTGGAGTTCTTGCAATCTTATGACTTTACAATCTAGCACAAATCTGGTGTTCAAAATGTAGTTGCTGATGTATTGAACAGAAAACATTATTTATTATCAGCAATGGAAGTCAAAGTAGTTGGATTTGAGACATTCAAAGATCTATATGAGAATTATGTAGATTTTGGCTCAATATGGTAGAATTGCAAATCAGGTTCTTTTCAATAATTTTCTATCTTTGATAGTTTTTTTTTTCGAGCTAATGCCTTGTGTGTTTCATCTTGTTCTTTGAGACAAGTAATTATAACTGAAGCTCATGATGTTATTTTGGGAGGACATTACGGTAGGGACAAGACTCTAGCTTTTGTTCAATCAAATTTCTATTGATATTGGCCTAAGATGTTCAAAGATGTCGAGCGACATGTAAAGCAATGCCGAGTGTGTCATTTGGCAAAAACAAGAAATCAAAATTTTGGTTTGTACACTCCATTCCTAGTGCCAAATGCTCCATGGGAGGATGTGAGTTTTTATTTCATTTTGGGACTGCCAAGAACTCAAAGGAACAAGGATTCTATCATGGTTGTTGTTGACAGATTTTCAAAAATGTCTCACTACGTTCCCTGCAATAAATCGAATGATGTATCTCATATTGCTAATTTATATTTTAAGGAGATTGTTAGATTGCATGGTATTCCAAGAGCTATGGTGTTTGATCGAGATTCAAAATTTCTTAATCATTTTTGGAGAGATCTTTAAAGGAAGTTGGGTACTTCTTTGAATTTTAGCAGCTCTCATCATCCACAAACCAATGAGCAAACTGAGGTAACGAACAGAAGCTTAGGAAACTTAGAAGCTATGTTGGCAAGAACATTAAGCAATGAGATTTCATTCTTCCACAAATTGAGTTTACCTACAATCGTTCCATGGATCATAGCATTGGTAAAAGTCCTTTTGAGGTTGTTTATGGTGCTAATCTTGTTGGTTCTTTGGACTTAATCCCTCACTCTACAACTAAGTAATTTAGTGGAGATGTTGATAAAAGAGCTAAGTAGATAAAGAAGCTGCATGAGGGTGTTAAAGCAACCATTGAGAAGCAAAATGAGAGATACATGCAAGCTGCCAACAAACACAGAAAACATGTGGAGTTTAATGCAGGTGATTTGGTCTGGATTCATCTAAGGAAGGAGTGGTTTCCACCGGGAAAATTTAGAAAATTGAAACCAAAGGCAGATGGTCCATTCAAGGTGCTTAAGAGAATTGGTAAAAATGCTTATGAGGTCAAGCTACCTGAAGATTACGGAGTGTCCCCAACATTTAATGTGGCTGATTTAAGTCATTTTCATAATCATGTTGACGAAACAAACAAGGACTTGAGGATAAGTCTTTTTTAACCAGGGGAGATTGATACGAGAGTGCCTAATTTCTTACAATCTGCTCATATGGACCTTGCTGATGCTATGGTATTGTTTTTAGTGCCCACAATGTTGACTCATAGTTTTCAACTCAGCCCACTCAAATATGACAGCTCATTAGCACATTCCTTAGATGAAGTTACAGCTGTTTTAAGGTGCTTTTCTTCATGATCAAGGAATGCATTAAAGAAGTTGGTTACCGGTTGTAAAATACTTAATTTCAAAATTTCCCATGTATGAAGGGTTGCTTCATGCACTAGTACTTATTTGGTTATTAAGGGCTTAGAAAGAACTTTAGAAAACTGATGATATTGGCATAAGCTCTCTTGGTGTGCTTTCTTAAACTTTGTATCTCTTGGATGCGTCCTTGAGTTGTGAGTCTTTTGTTTTTAGTTCTGTATCTTTGTTTATTATCCTTGGGGTGGTAATCTTTCTGTATCCCTTTGTGATTTTAAACTTGGTGGTAAGCTTTCTTTTCGATTTTATTAAAGTTTTGTCACGAGTTCGTTCCTTTTCTATCCGAAAAAACTTATTCCAGCAAATACAATTGTACTGTCGGTTTTTCTTTCGAAATCCATTCTACTTTACCCCCCATTCTGCATCACACTAGTATCAAGATTTCTCAATCATATTGGCATATAAACATTATGATTTTGTTGATGCATTAATCCTTTTAAGTGATCTATTTGAAGCATTCGTTTAGATATGTAAAATCTTTGCAGAACCCTCCTAGCAAGAAGAGGGATTCTTACCTAACAAAAGAAATATTAGGAGTTATGTATGACATGTCAAGAAATCAAGGCCTTATTTGGTTGTGTTTCACAAAAAAAATATTCTCAAAATCCAGTTTTTAATCTGAAAGTAAGGAATAAGTCTACGTTGTTTCCTTTGTTGGTTACTCACTGCCAGCAGTACACTGCCACTTGGATAAGTGGTATCCGAAAGCAGAAAAGCGAACGGATGGTTTCTGAAATGAGAAAAACCATTTGCCAAACACTTTTTTCTCTTGTTAAATCAGTATAGTTGTTCAAAGAACATAGCTAAATGTGCCCTGAGCCACCTTACTTGTATCTCCCTCCATAATAATCAACACACATTTCACTTGTATGAGTCGTTTGAATTGTTCTATGGTGTTGTGTTACTACTGAATATTTTTCACAAAGGTTAAAGATCAACATCATTAATTTTGATATCTGCATCCACTAGTAAAATGAACAAAGTATTTCCTCTTGTAGTATTCTTGTTCTGTGAACTTGGGCAGTTCAGTTACTTCCTGCATCCCCAGAACTTTGGCAAATGCATGGTAGTTTTATGCATGTTGGAAATAACCATCTTCAGTTACTTCCTGCATCACCAAAACTTTGGCAAATGCATGGTAGTTTTATGCATGTTGGAAAGAAGCATCTCAGATCTTTAGCTTCTAGCAGAAGACAAGTGGGCAATAAAGCCCAAGAGCAATGATAATAAATCTTCTTTCATCACTTGATTTTCTTTTTGGTGTTTGTGCTTTGTAGCCTGGAGGCTGCTGGAGTCCTAAGGGAGTTGGCTAATTACCTTGATGCGCATATCCCAAGTGTTGAATTGATTGCAAGTGCAATCGGTGTAGTCTCAGCAATCATAGACAATGTGCCACTTGTAGCAGCAACAATGGGAATGTATAACCTTACCTCTTTTCCTCAGGACTCTGAGTTCTGGCAGCTGGTTGCTTTTTGTGCTGGAACTGGAGGCTCCATGCTTATCATAGGGTCTGCTTCTGGGGTTGCATTTATGGGAATGGAGAAAGTGGATTTCTTTTGGTATCTTCGCAAGGTAATACAGTGTCATTCATAATGTAGCACAAATTATTGTTTTCAGTGCCTGCTGCAGCTTTTTCAATGTTATACAGGAGTAGAAGTAATCATACACAATGCCCGTAAAGCAATGTTTGTTGATGAATGTTGTATTGTGTTTTTGTGTTAACATTTCTATACCGAAATCTTTGTGCTGCGATTTCATCCTTTGATCTCTTGACGAGTAAGTACAGAAATCTCTTTTGATATTGTAGCATTGAAGATATTTAGAAAAATATTCAAGACTTACTTTTCTACATTATTCAGTATGTTTGAGACCATCCTCACTATGCCTTCAAATCTTTTTTACAGGTTAGTGGATTTGCTTTTGCTGGTTATACTGCTGGAATTGTTGCATACGTGGTGATCCATAACTTGCCGTTCTCTCTACCAACTTCTTTGGCTGAGCTTCCATTTCTTTCGGGACCTTAGATCTTGGACACAGAGAAGTTGATTTTGGACATGCAGGATAGTTCAGGCCCCTACTTTTAGTTTGTATTCAGCTCCAATTTTCAATCTGAACTTTAGTTTTCTAAATTACTATTAGCAATGGCGAAAGATCTTCTTCTTGTAGTTGTGGCCAAACAGAATAATCGCGAGAGGACATGTGGTGTATGAATACAAGATTATGGCGCATCCGAGCATGGAATAAGAAATGGTGGCACATCTGGAGTATAACACAATGTAGAGAATGTGAATCCGTGATGAAAATTCCATTGAGAACCTCCACACTACCATGATCATGTGAGCTTTGCTCGAAATACCTGTCATGACCAATTTATGATCATAAACACATGTGAAACTCTTCATACAAACAACCATTTCTTCTTTACTTATAGTCGAACATTCATTCAAATGTGCATCATTTTGTCTCTGCATTGCCCCATCGAGCCATATCTACTCTGGTGTTAAATGTGCAGTTGCCTATCAGCGTATGTCACTCTGCAACCAACTGTATTTCATTTATTGTTTTTCTTTGTTTTTTGTTTGGACATACTAATTTAACTGATCCATCTTATTTGGCAGCAGAGCAATTCCCAGAACTTTTGCTGCTATGAATCACAAAAGTGTACTGATAGAATGTAATGATTTGCACGTTTTAGCTTGTTTCAAATGCATTAAAATGAGCATATGCTTACTAATGTTAAAGATCTGGATGTGGGTTGCAGAAACCACCCGGGAGATGTGCTGCCTGCATAAAGTTCTTTCGAGAGTAGTTTATATTGGACAAGACTGGCTGAAGCTTCTTCTTCTCAAGAGATTGACCCTCGAGGTGAAGTCCCATTTGCTCCATAGGTTTTGCACTGCTTGATTTCACAAACAGTGATCAGTATGTTGCATTTGACGGTATCAGGTGCGACGTCGTGAATCCTACGAGATGAGTCGAAGGAATAGGTAAGGGTTTCATGCCCATCTCCATCTTATATTTTAGAATGTCTTCTCCATTTTGTCCAATTCCTTCCGTGCCTCATTGACAAGCCCTTGTTTGCACAATCCACAAATCAAAAGTGCGAGATATGAGCTCGGTCTATGATTTGTGCCACGAAACAGTGTTGCGCACCGAAGAGCCAGATCGTAACTCGGGTTTTTGTTCTAGAAAATGGATCAGGATTCAACAGTGTTGCGCACCGATGGGTTTTTGTTCTAGAAAATGGATCAGGATTCGGAAGCATCAGACTTGACCTAAAATGATCACCATGATGATGATGATCACCATGTGTGAATAATAATTAAGATAACGGTTCAATTCAAGTTTCTCAATCAATTTTTTTAATTGAAAAAACATATTATAAATGTCAGAGAAAAAAAAAAGCAAAATATACCTAATTAAAACTCTTTCTGATTCACCTTTTAAAGGGGTTTTTTCTTTTGTGAATTCATGCCATGCGGAGTTGAAGGCAAGCAAAACCACTTTTACGTCAAAGTGTTCCGTCTGTCGTGCATGCTAATTAGGCTTCCTATCCGTTCACAATTAAAGAAGAGGCGGAGAGAGAGAGAGAGAGAGAGAGATGGGTTTTAAGCATAGCTTTAAAAAAAAAAAAAAAAAAGTCAGTAGCTGTCCAAATCTAATATTATAAGACGATCAAACTTTCTGAAAGGTGGGAATGCAGGATAGATATGTCATGTCGGTTCCTATTACAATGGCATAAGATTCTATCCAACTTCCTCCGAGCATTGTTGGATGGATAGTCGGTTGGCTTATAAATCAGTCCCTTCCTCACCGCTTCAATTCCTTGCCCTCTTAACGTAAGTGAGGGAATTGGGCTTCATTCCTATTTCCTCCCGTAGAATCAAGAATGCCAAGGACGGCTAAAGTAGAAAGGAAACGGTTGCGCGGTGTACTTTCAGTAGAGTTGCTGTTCTATCCATTATTGTGCGTTAGCCATTGCTGCTTGTTCTCTAAAGAATTGAATTGAGCTATCCACTTCATATAGATAGATTAAAAGTAAACAAACAGCCTTTTATTCGAACTCACCTAAGCTATAGTCTGGCGCTCTTGCTTGTTGGAGAGAGAGAGAGAGAGAGAGAGAGAGAGAGAGAGAGAGAGAGAGGAACAGATTGACGAAGAATGAAAACTTTTTCTAATTTTAGTTTCTTATGACCAGGCCTGACATCTGTAACATTTCTTCTTCTTCTTCTTCTTCCCTTCCCCAAAGCTATCCACCTCATGCCTTTTTCATGCAATTCACCAATCCATTAAGAATAATCCCTCCGCAACCTATAAACGCCATGCATCGAGAAACCAACGTTCATCACATGAAAGACCGACAGGTAGCGTGTCCTCATTGGAACATGCATATTAAAGAACCACTCCCGCTGTTGCAGGTACGTTTGTTGTACTGGAAATACGAAAGTGAGCGTTGCATTATGACTTGTTATCAGAAAAGAAATCTACCCAAAAAGTGTCCTCGAAGCAGCGTGGACCGTAGGAGCAGGTGAAAATTGAGAGAAAAGACGAACCAACAGTGATCAGTAAACCACGGCAAAAACGAAAGTAATAAAAGAAAAGAAAAGAAAAGAAAAGCTGGGAACAGCAGTACTCTCCTCCATTCGATGTAGGGAGAAGATGGGTTTGGATCAATCTTTATTTGAGTGACAAAAGTCAAAGTAAAGTCGTCCGAGATGAATGATTAGAGCTGATCTGATCTACTTTTCATGTTTGAAAGCACATCGACCGACATGGCAAGTGGAATTGAGAGGTCAACATTTTAGTAATGGAGTGAGGACAAAGCGGAGAAAAGCAAACGAAAAGCTAAAAAAAAAAAAGAAAAAGAAAAATCAAATATTTATCTTGTTATCCCATGAAAAAAAATAATCAGAATTTAACGGATGGGTTTGGAGAACAGATTTTGCATACATGGATCATTAAGAGGAATTTTCTTTTTTCATTTTGATATGATGATAACATGACGATTGAGCTGATGGAATTGTAATCTAATTTATTAGGTGAATTTTCTTTGTGATTTAAAATCCACCTATTTTTTAATTAAAAGTTAAAATATTTTTTCAAAATATGATCGATCATATGCTCAAGCTTGAGGAGCTCCTACATCACAAGTTCAATTAATTTACGAAGTACTTAAAAAAAAAAAAAAGAAGACAAGTGAATCGTGCTCATAACGACGGATATATTGAGTCATATTTTAATAGCTCAATTTTTTGAGATTATTTAATAAAATAATAAAAAAATATTTGTATCTACTCATATTTTTTTTTAAAAAATATTTAATTAAAAATATCTTGTATAATACTCATTTAAAATTAAACTTGTGGGATAACTGATACTTCAATTACAATCTTTATTTACTAAATACTCAGCTCTTAGATTAGTACACGTGATGTGATCTTGCAAGGTTCATCCGCCCAGCCCTCGAGCTGTGCCCAACCGAAACGCCAGCAGTTGGGTAGCAGGCAAATCACAGAGACCTAATGATGAGTTAAATCGGACGAGTCCTATCCATCTCCCCACATCAAGGAAGACACACACACACGCACCACAAGGTTATGCAGGCAATGCCAAGGTCATTGGTCAACCAGCTCAGAAAGTGAAGCAAATTGCTTTAGCCACCCTCCTCTGTTCTTCTCTTTAATCTTTAATCACAGGCCTCGTTGTTTCTCCTTACCAAGTGTGACATTTACTCCAAGAAAGATTTTGGTACAAATGTTCATGATTGATAGCTCCTGTGGCATGATGGCTCGTAGGCCTCCGGTAGATAGAACTCGGAGTGGCCAGTGCTGCGGCAGCAATCCGATCTTATGTGTCCTACCACACTCCACACACTCAGCCATGACATCCTTGTTTAAAGCAAAAGATGACGTGCAGAGCAGAGCAGAGCTGAGCTGAGAGAGTACTCGATAAGGAGGAGAGAGAGAGAGAGAGAGAGAGAGAGAGAGAGAGAGAGAGAGA